CTGGAAATAAAGTAAAATTCTAATATGAAGATATTAAGGTTATAACAATTTCTCAATTATAATCAATTAACAATAATCAGAAGAATAATGTTGCGTAGAAATTGCACGGCTTATAATTACATAAACGGATACATCGATTTATCATCTGTCATTGATTTGATTTTCACAGTTAATTAATATCGCATAGCAATACGCCATTTGTATATATATTACTGGCTTGTGATTTTATTTCAAATAGCACAGAAAATCATTATGAACTCAAAAAGAATTTCTTTCCGGTAATCTAACAAGAATTCTATAAAAGTACACGTTTTGACTTCTGAAATTAAATCGAAGTTGCTCTGAAAGAAATTTTTTTTCTGTTCGTAATGAGTTCGAAAAGAATCACGAATACATGAAATCGTCAATAAATGGACGCAGTTGACTCCACTTCTCGTAACTAAAATCCATACAAATAAAATAAATGGCATTATCCAGCAAACAGAAATGGATTGAAATAGATAAAAATGAATTTGTCATTGGTCATTGACGAATTCAAAATCGTGATTTTTTTAATCCATTTCAATCCAATTAAAATTTAAGAATTCTTTGAATCCATTTTAATTTATAAAGTGAAATTGAAACTATAAGATTTTTATGCTGTCAATCCAGAAAAGATTACGCCGGCCGATTCATTTTAATCCGTGAAACGAGATTGAAACGAAGTGCTTCTTATTCTTTCAATTCAAAATGTATTAAAATGAATTAAAATGGATTAGAAATTTTCAATTTATTTTAATTTATTTCCGGATGCTGGGTATATTATGAGAATTATGTCCTAATTCTAATAAAATAATATGAAGTAAATAAAATGAGTCAGTTCCGAAACTTTATTTTGGCATCTCTGATGATGCCTTGAAGATAAATACATAGAATCTTCGAGATGAAACAAAATGTTTTGACAGTTTATCGTTGTTTACCGTTTCATTCTATGTAATAATTAATTTAGGATATTTCTGAAATATATATTTGTTAGGATACTTGTTAGGAATACTATTTAAAAATGATTATAATTTCATTACGAATTATTATAAACTATAAACAAATTTCCTTATCTGAAAAAGAGTATCAGAATTGATGACATAAAAGTAAAATTCTGTAGAACTTTTATGAACATTTTTAGATCAGAAATGGTACGCAAGAGGAATACATTTCATAATTCGGGGATTCAAAATAAATTATTTTTTGGATTTTTTGTACTATTTGGGGACATTTCTATAAGCTTGATCCACTCCATCTACACGTAGCCGTACCATTTCGGATCCAGTTCCATGAATAGACATCCAGTTCCATGAATAAAAAAATCTTATTTTGTTAGAAAAAAATTAATGAGTCGTAGTTATATGTTAATGTGTTTTCAAAACTAATTAATTAAAGTTAAAAAAACTCAATTAAAATTAATTAAGCTGAGTTAAAAATTATTAATCTTTAATTTCATTATTTAACTTTTAATATTAACTAATTAATTAGTTACTATACTTTGTGTACATCGCATCGATATCTCAAAGCTGAGGTCATTGATGAGAAATATTATTATTTATGTAAATATATTTTAAATTACAATTACATATTTAATTGTAATATTAAAAATTTTTATTACTAAGTGCCATAAAAGATCATCTCTAAAACAAACTATATCAAAGAAAAATATTGACTCAATTCTAAGTTTTAATTTTTTTTTTAGTATTAGATTCCAGTGATGTATTTAACTCTGGTTTTCTTTATCGAAATAATTATTGGCTAGGCAGCCATAGTCAATGTTTTAATATGATGAATACAGTTTCTCTAAAAATTTCAAAGAGAAAAATATTAAATAATATATCGTATCATGATTCGCAAGAGGAGTTTCCATCATTCAAGTGAATTATTTTGTTGCTTATTTTAGTCATAACAGTATTTTTCAGTACTCCTCCAGGGGCTGTCTCCTCTTCGGGGGAGGCAGTACGGGCTTCGCGAACCCGGAGTACCCGAGCTGGTGTGTATGGGAGAGAGAGAATGGGTTTTGGTACGTGTGGGACACGGTGGAGGGTCCTTGGATATTCCTGGTAGACTAATCAAGGGGAGAATAGTAGTTCCCCAACCGGGCTGGGAGATGGAGGCTGTCGTTGTGACCTCTGGGGTAATAAGGGTAATCATAAGTCCTGTAGCCTCCTTAGGGAGACTGCAGGCAAAGATCCCGAGAACCCCCATGTCGTGATGGCCGCTCTCTTCCCAGTGGCTGGAGCCTATGCCGGGGTTGAAGGGGGCCTGAAGGCGTGTGTGGGGAGTTATGTGGCCAGTATTCTCCCACACCCAGAGCTGCATAGGGCAAATTGCAGCACCGTCTAGCCCGGGGCACGGGTGTCCGCCCTTCGGATGGGTACGGGCCCGTGTAGTAGGGGTGACGTAAAACCTCAGCATCATCTATGGCACGGGCCTATCCCGTAACCTTTTTTGTTAGAGTCATTTTGTACGGATAAGGTGGGCCGCCTGATAAATCGCTTCTCGGCTTCTGTATTTTTAACTTGGGACTTGTTTACAGCGGGGAAGTGGCTGCACCGCGGTATAGCTCCCATGATGGGCGAACCGCTTTTCTACTACAGGCAACATGGATAGTACTAATATAAACCAGGATGGATTTACCTCGGTGACGACTGATGTTTCTCAAAAGGTCGCAAACATGGACAAGGAAGGGAACTCGAGTAAACCTCGAGTAATTAGCTGCGAGGACGTTACGGTGAGAGTCGAGAAGTTGCGACCGGATACACCTTCCTCTTCTCGAAAGGATGCTCCGGTGGACGACATCGTTATGTCACCGACGGTCGGTGATAAGAGTGTTTCGGAGGTGGAACTGAGTGCCTCCGATTTGAGAGCATTAGCTCCTCCCAAACAAAGAGGTAGACCGAGAGGTCCCAACTACAAGCCCCAGTAGGCCCGGCTCCGACTGACGCAGATTCTTCTTGGGCATTGAGCGAAGAGGGTTGGTTCGTTAGACCAGACGATGCTATGTCTACAACTAGCAGTAGCTCTAAGATTAAGAGGAAGAGGAAAGCCACGACGCCACCCGAACCAGAAAGTGGCTCGCCCGACGAAGAATCCGCAGACGATCCAATAGACACGCTTGCCTCTACCTATAAATTGGGCTCACATGCGGTGCAGCTGGATCGATAATGGTGGAGCTAATGCGATCCAAATCCCCGTGGATCCAGGGTAAACTCTCGGGTAGGATGAGGAACAGCCTTGCGAAGATTAAAGAGATAACTTGCATATTATCCGATAGAGCGCAATCGGGCGGTAGTGAGGATAGGGCTAGACAATCCGTGGCAAACATGACTAGAGAAATTAAGCTGTTGAAAGAGGAGATTTCTAGGCTAAAGGAAGATAACAAACAGCTAAAAATCGAGAATAAAAAGACGAGAGAATATTATGAGAAACTGATAGTTCCTTCTACTTCTTCCAGGAAAATATCTCCGCCTGGTTCTCCACCTAAGTAGCGCAGCCCTAATTATAGTGAGGTCTGTGCAGCCTTGAAAAAGCCTGAGGGAAGAAATAATTTCCATAATTAATTCCCAGAAATTAATAGCAAGGAATTAGTTTCGCTAATCATGGAAAACGTAGTGAGATCCTTGAACTCGGATCCTTATACGGAGTATACTTGCCGGTTGGTGATAGTTTGCGTAGTGATGTTGACTCGGGGACCTCGGCACCTGTAACAAAGAAAATGGTGATAGTGGAGAGAAATAAAAAACCCAGATTAAATAAGGAGAGGCCACTTCTGCATAAAACTCCTGGAGAAACGGATCTCTCTATATTCGAGACGATTCCATTCACAGCAACAGATACGGAGGTGGAATGGATACAAATGTTTTAGATGTCTCTCGTTCGGGCATTTAAGCCGTAGTTGTAAAAGATCAGTGGACCGAACAGGTACTTGTTATAGGTGCGGTGAAAAAGGACACTCGTCAAATTCCTGTGATCGTGAACCGAAGTGTATTCTCTGTTTCGAGGCCGGCCTCCAATCGGATCATAGGTTAGGAAACAATAGATGTCACGCGCTGAAATTCCCTGACAGGATGAAATCGGTGCGAAGACTGGAGGACTGTAATAAGACGATAGAAATGGAAATCAATGATTTATAAATCTTTGCAAATAAATTTAAACCATTGTAAGAGGGCACAGGATCTCATGATGCACTATGTGAAAGAGATGGAAATTAGCCTGGTCTTTGTTTCTAAGCCCTACAGGACTGAAGGAGGAACAGATTGGGGGGAAGGAGGAACAGATATGTGTCTGCCTGTGAAAAGAGCGCAATTCTCCTGTTCGATGTTACCGGTACCCCCTCTGCCTCAAGAAATCAAATCTGGGAATGGCTTTACAGCCCTTAAAGTTAATGACCACCTAATGGTTAGCTGCTACTTCTCTCCTAGTCGCTCCCTCGAGGAGTTTGGTGGCTTTCTGGACGACCACTAGTACGTTTCTACCCGATGGAAAGAGTTATCATAGCCGGAGATTTTAATGCGAGATCAACGAGCTGGCGTGATAAGATTACTAACGATCGAGGTACATTGTTGGATAGGTGGCTTGATTCGACGGGTCTGGTTGTGGCTAATAATAGCTCGAGACCTACTTGGGGAAAGGGACCAGGGGATGTCGATCGTTGACCTCACCCTGGTTTCAAGTAGGGTGGTGCGAGATGGCTTTACATGAAGGTTGATGAGTGACCTGGTATCCTTCTCGGATCACAGATACATACGTTGGCAGTTTGGGCGCTTTGAGCCGCGAAAATTTAATACTTTTGTGCGCAAAGGCTGGAATCCGGACAAAGTCGATCCTGACAAGTTCAAGGAATATTTTAGATGTGCTGATGTACTGTGTGATCCTACGAGTTTAGCTAACGACTATTCTCACTCGCTCATTCAACTGTTGTCTCGTGTCTGCGACTTGTCAATGCCTAGATCTAGACAAGTGCATATAAGAAGGACCTACTGGTGGAATGAGGAGATAGCCGAATTATGTAAGTTATGTATTCAAACACGACGGAAGCTAACCAGAGATCGAAGACGAAAAGACCGCAATCCGCAACAATATGAAGACCTCCGGCTGCAGTATAGTCAACGGTCTCGGAATATGAGGAATGCGATCTCGCGCTCTCAAAAACTGGCCTGGAGTGAGCTACTGGAGGAAATAAACTCCAATCCTTGGGGTAGGCCGTACCTGGTAATAATGAAAAAGATCCGAGGTTTGGAGTACAATGTTCCACTGGATTATTTGTCCTTTGCCAAGATCAGCGAGGTGGTGAGATTGCTTTTTCCTACCCGTATGGCCATCAAATGGAATAAGGATGCACTTGGGGTTCTGGACGAGACTATTCCTGCAGTGCTCGAAGATGAGGTTAAAACTGCAATAAAAAAGTCCTGCTCTCGCAAGGCGGCTCCAGGATTGGATGGCTTATTGGTACGTATTTTAAGGCTTTGCTGGACTCGACGCGTTTTGTTAAATGTTTTGATAAATGTATGAGGGAAGGCGTATTCCCCTCCGAATGGAAGCGAGCGCACTTGGTTTTACTGCAAAAGCCGAGTAAGTTGGACGATTCACCGTCGTCTTTTCGTCCAATTTGTCTACTGAGCGATATAGGGAAGATCTTCGAACGTATATTGTTTAATAGGATAGTTTCCCATCTACAGGATGGCCTCCAGAGCCGTCTCAGCCATCAACAATATGGCTTTAGGTCTGGTAGGTCAATGAACGATGCGATAATTAGGATGCAGCGAATAATCCGAAATCATACTAGCAAGGGTGAGTATTGCTTGGCTATCGGCTTGGATATCCACAATGCATTCAATTTTTTGGCCTGGAGGCAAATTATAAAAGCGTTAAAAGACAAGCAGGTACCGTTGTACATAATTCGTGTGCTAATGGATTACCTATCTGATCGTCACATCTTAGTGATTAAGAAGAGCGGCCGCTACACATCGCACTTAATGACGTGTGGAGTTCCTCAGAGTTCAGTCCTGGGCCCACTGTTGTGGAACATCACATACGACAGTGTGTTGAGCGTTGGAATGCCGTATGATTCTTACGCTTTGTGCTTTGCGGATGACACGTTGATCATCGTTAGCAGTAGGAATTTTAATTTGTTGACTTTTAAAGCGAACTTAATCTGTGATTTAGTGATAAGCAAAATTAAAAGTCTAGAGCTTGAAGTTGCTCCTTCTAAGACGGAGGCTGTATTGTTTTGTCCAGATAGCATTAAGGATAAAAGTCTCACCTTTTTGGTGGATGGGGTCTCTATCCAGTCAACCGATAGGATGAAGTACCTCGGTATTGTAATCGACAATAGATGGAAATTTGTTCATCACTTTGAGATGGTATCGGGAAAGGCGGAAAGAGTGTTATCGCGACCTCTTGATGCTCAACCTGCGCGGTCCTAAATTTGATAAGCGTAAGTTGTACGCCAGCGTAGTGCACTCCATACTATTGTATGGTGCTTCGGTATGGACCACGGATGAAGTCCTCACTAAGAGGAATTTAAAGTCGATTGAGCGTATACAGAGGCGTGTATCGATTAGAGTTATCTCGGCCTATCGTACGGTATCGTTGACGGCGTCACTGCTTTTAGCGGGAATTCCTTCCTTTGCCATCTTGGCCAGGAGCAGGAAAAAGGTGTATGACCATATTTCGGAATTAGAATTTAGAAACCAATATAAACTTACCCATCAAGAAATGTTGTTAAACTTAGAGCTAAGAATAACATAATTACAGAGTGGAGAGAAATGTTGACTGAAATGTTTCCGGACGATGCTGCGTTGTACATCCGAAAACTAGTAGTTTCACACTTAGAGGAGTGGTTATCCAGATCTCATGGTTTTTGTCATATCGATTGACGCAGGCATTGACGAATCATGGCTGTTTTAGTTCATATTTATATAGGATTAGAAAGTTTTATACAAAGCGTTGCGAATTTTGTCCTGCAGGACGGGACGATGTTGGTTACACGGTGTTTCGTTGTGAGGTATGGTCTTATTTACGCGAAGAAGTTAAGCGAAGACTCGGGAAAAGATTATCTGAGGGAACGCTCGTCGAATCTATGTTGTTGGGACGAGACGAGTGGCAATGGATAGAAACAATGATAGGTGAAATCATGTCTCTCAAGAAAGTTGCGGAGAGACGAAGACAGGGTGCGTTGGTCGTGGTGGCCTAGGGGATCGGTTATGCCGATCGCCCGGTCCAGTCGCGTGGTCGTATCTGTCCCCCGTATGGCGGATCGACTGCGCGTTTCCCGCATTTCCGCATGTGCGCACCTGTCATGGGGTCCGGTGGGAACTAGTTCTTACCTGATTCCGTTTCCTCTTCCCGCGATGTGAATCCTCGCCCTTCCTGGTCCTGGTGGTGGTGTGGATGTCCGAGTGTTGGGTTCTTGTAGCAGTCAAAGAAGTTAATTAATAACCGTTGGGCTTCGGTTTTACGAGCATGGCTGGATGGCCCTGAAGTTGTGCCTGTGGTGTCCCGGGGTTCCATCCGTAAGTCTTTAGTGTTGTATTCGTATAGAGGATGGTTTTAATGGGTAGTACTTGGCCAGCAAGTGAGTCCTACACTCCCTGGAGGGAACGGTTACATCCAGGGGTGCGTAAATGCATTTCTCCTCCTCTCGCAAAAAAAAAGAAGTATTTTTCAGTACCATGTGAATATGTTTGAAGAGGTAAATTTAAGAAAATTATATAATAAATATCAGAGAATAGAGATAAAATATATTCAATTATAAATTAAGTTCTTAAAATCATTATACTTACTAAATTTTTTTTAAATTAAACTAAATTTAATCAAGAGAAGATTAAAATAACATTGTACATAATTAACATTGTACAAAGTTAATATTTATACTCATACTTGGATTTTTATTCATCATTTTTTGAAACATGTCTTGTAACGTGAGACTTTACATGGAAATGTTAAATATATTTAAAAAAAGAGATTATTTATTAAGTGTTCATTTAAAAATTTATTTTAACATACATTAATTTCGTAAAATCAACAAAAATTTTCAAATAAAATTCAAAATCATATAACTCTATTTCAAGGAATGTTGTATTATTTCTTTGTCCCTTTTTGGGAGGATTGTTGACAATATATCATTAAAAAGCTTTAAAAAATTATAAAAACTGCAAAAGAAATTCTTTTGCCTTTAATTTCTTACTTTTAGTAGTTTTGGAGG